AACTTATTTTTGCAATTTGGACATCTTTGATTTTTTTTATATTTCGACAGTGTGAAGTATAATCAATAATGATATTAATTCCAAATTTTTGGAATGGTAAGACACTTTGTTCGAAAGATATAAACAAAACAGTGACGGTGCGCACTCTGCGTATGTATGTAGAATATGGCTCGACTGTTCTCGAACTCATCCGCTACCTACTAAACTAGAGCGCGGCGTGCGCGCCGTCACTGTTTTGTTTATATCTTTCGAACAAAGTGTCTTACCATTCCAAAAATTTGGAATTAATATCATCATTGATTATACTTCACACTGTCGAAATATAAAAAAAATCAAAGATGTCCAAATTGGAAAAAAAAGCTGTTTTTTTCAAAAAATGAATTTTTTTATGTCAAACACAAAAAATTTTATATTTTAATGTTGATTTTCTTAAAGTTTGAGAAAAATCACTTCAAGAAAGTGTGTTTAAATATTTTTGATATATATATATATATATATATATATCAAACAGGGAATCAATTCAATATCTAACTAGATCACTAAAATTATATGAAAAACATACTGAAATGTAGATTGGAGACACGTCAATATAATTGACATTCCTATAGAAGCATTCCTCTAATTATCCTATATTATGGAATATGCAGAAATGTATTCATGACACATCATCGATGCATATTATGCTGGTTGATAAGAGGGATAATACTTGCATATACCACTGGGAAAGGATGATCTTGTCTCTCAGAGATGATCTTCTAGATAACCAAACTATATTTATCAAAACCACACTGTAATGGATTAATACAATATAATAAATGAGTTGAATTCAGAGGTATTGGTGGAGTAAGTTATATTCAAAATAATATTTTAATTAAAGGTTGAATCTTTCATATACCTAATTTGATAGAAATTGATTTATTTTATTGATAATTTTGTTTTAATTTTTAAATACGTATTAATTAGAATAGTTTCTGTTCAATAAACAAATCTTATTTATCAAAACAAATGTAATGCAATAATATATATCTAATAAATGAGTTCAATCCTGTTGTATGAGTGGAGTAAGTTGTATTAAAAATAATATTTTAATTGAAAGTTAAAAATTTCAACAAATCCAGGAAGTAAAATTGATTTATTGTACGGATAAGTTGGTTTAATTATTATCTATGCTAATTAGTATAGTTTTTTTTAACAAACAAACCATAGATATCAAAACGAATGTAATGCAATAGTATATATGATAAATGAGTTGAATCCAGTTGTTTGAGTGGAATAAGTTGTATTCAAAATAAGATTTTAATTAAAAGTTAAATATTTTCAACAATGACATGATGTAAAATAAATTCATTTAATTGTATACAAATAGTAACTGAGTTTAATATGTAAGATTTGGCGAAATAATATGCATTTAAGCAATATTTTCAATTCAAGCTTTATTTCGACAATTACATGGATTAAAATTACTTATTTATTATAATTTTTATACGAACTAATTGTTCGAATTTTTACTTCACAAACAAAACTACATTTATCAAATCTACAGTTTAATGGAAAAATATGAATAATATAATACAAATTAGTAACATTTTAATTTTTAATATCGAATTTTTTTAATTATTCCAATATTTTTAACTAGAGCTGTATATGAATAGATAGTAAATCTGATTCTGGTACTTAAAGTTATGTATTATGGATATATTACAATGAATACCGATTATACAAGTTTAAAAAAATTTTAATCTTTTTTAGGTTTTGCTTTTTAATAACTGAATTTTGAAGAATTCGAATTTTTAAACCAGCAGTGCACCCTAGAACCACATCTGTGAAAAATATTGATTTCGAAAATTCCTCTACAATTAATCGATACGAATTACCAAGTAAAAAAAAAAGTGAATCCTAATATCAGAGACGCCCGAAAAGCCATCAATTTTCTGAACTGGAAATAAAAAGAAGGAAATCAAACTGCGAAATATTTGATGTCAGATTCCAGAAATATGGGAACGGGAAAATACAACCCTGAAATCCTCTCTCCGGTAAAGCAGGAAAAGGGGCGTCTGAAAATAAATAATTTACGACCGGGGCTTAAAGTATGCAGATGGGTGGAGGACTTTTAGAAAACGGTGCCCCGCAGTTCTACCGTATAACCACACCGCCTGCACTAACAACTATAAGATGGCATCGCCATTTCGGCTTTGGAAACATTCCTCAAAAGTTAGAAAAGTATTTCTTCCCAAAATTAAGTGTTTTCATCCTGGTATGTGTGCATCAGGGCGTAGAGATGGTTTGGGGGCTAGAAGGGTGATATAAAACTAGGAAGATTTCGTCATTAGAAAAGTTTGTCGTTCGCAAATGTGAAAAAGAAAGAAGATTTAGATGTGTGATCGTTTTTTAAATGCAAACAGATGAAAGACAATATCTCGCTGCTCCGGGGCGTTCTAGGTTTAATGCTTAAATAAACTGCGATGCGCATGCATTTTACATTCCATGGAAGGTTATGATATTTGGTTTTATATATTACAAATTACGCAGGGGAGGGATTGCGTGGTCGATAGAGCGTCAGCTGATGTCCAAGAGGTCCTGAGTTCAATCCCCGGCGGCTGAAGATTCCCCGTGTTGTAAATGGTGACTGGTGCACGTTAGACCTGTCGAGTCAGAAAGTCTTCCATATTCAAATAACAAATCATACCTCTGAATCAGAAATTGATCAGTCTCTGATATTGAGGTCAAAATTATGATCTGTGGATGTATGAATGGGTTCACCAAATAAAACGGGCAATGACGTGTGCGTGGCTGAAGTAATATTCTTGGAAATAGATGGCGCTATTGAAAAATAGGAAGCACACCCTATGCCTCAAATTCGCTTGGTTTTGCCAAGCAGGCTTGCTGGTATTTTCAAACTGCATTAGAAACAACAATAAGCTACGTTTTTGATAAAAAAAAATCTGTATTATATAAAACGCTAATACGTACGTATCAATAAAACCGATGATATTTCTTTTCTCGCGTTGGCAACAGTTTTCATTTTTAATTGATAGGCTTCGGCGGGCAAGAGCACGTAGTGAGCATCATATGGTTAGTTGGGTGAATTCTCACCGAATTATCAAAAAAATTCTCACAAAATTATCTTCATCGAAGCCGATGCTTTACATCCGGCGTTCAGTACTATTTCATATTGTTTTACAACACATGGTCTTAGCCCTCTGGTGGGAAAGACTTTAAAACAAAACTTACAACAGTTACTTTTCTCAACAACTGAAATTTAGAATAGTGTGATTAAGAAAAATATGTGAACTGTTTGCAATTTCAAATTAATATTGAAATGCACAGGTTTAGAATTTTCTACAGTGAAAAGTTTTCGGAACTTCAGTGTTCAAAAAAGTATACAAAAGCTAGACGTTAAGAACGTATCCAATGAGCGAGTAAAGCGAGCATCGGATTGCAAAGCAATCCGAAATGAACTGCGAAAGCAGTTCCGGGGGTAGGCGAGCGCCAGCGAGCAGGGGCGAAACCTCCTAGTTTAATGTAATTTATTTAACAGTTTGCTGAAAAATAGTTTCATGACAATTTACATAAATGTTTATACATATATTTATGTTTTGCAGATAAATAATTTTATTCCGACAATTTACAAAGAGCGCTGAATTTTTAAACTTCAATTAAGTAATGTTGCGCCAAACGTTATTTTAAATGAAACATTTTATGAAAAGAGTAGATATTGACGTTACAAATCGTCTCAATCTTTCTTTAAAAATACATTTAGTTTTAACATACAAACATAAATTTTCTTTAAATATGACTACTGTCAGCTATATTTGACGAGTAAAGTGTCGAACTCACCGTCGGGGAAAAAAATCTTTAAATTACAATAATATCTATCAACTAATTTATAAATGCTA